GTAGCAATATCTCAGCATGGCCTTTCTCAGCTAACCAACTATTAATAAAGCTCTCCACATTAAAGCTCTCCACACTGAAGGGTTCTTCTCTTCACCACAACACATCCTCCACTCTGCTCTTGTGCTCCCTGGCCTTGAGATGAGCTCCTGCTGCTTGGGGTAACCTCTGAGCCTGTGTTTGTGCCCAGCTGCTGATCTGCTCTCTTGCTGTTCTCCAGCTCACACAACTCTTCTACAGACTCGAGGAGAAATAATGGATATGGACATGGAACAAGGCAGAGAGCTGAACACCATCCCAGTGTTGAGCCTCAAGCCCAAGGAGCCTTCAGTGGGAGATGGTGAAAGTGTAACGCTTGTGGTTGCCCTAACCCTGAGTACTGAGGGTGATATCAGCAGCCCGGACAGTTCCAGAACAAATTCACATCCCCCTCAGCATTTCTTGCGGCATAAAGGCAAAACAAGCGCTCATGACCTGAGGGCCAAGATCAATAAGAAGCTGCACAAGGCTGAAAGCATCAAGACTGCCAAAAGCAATGTGGTAAAAAAGGCACCCTCAAGCTGGCATCAAGAGAAGATGGAGTCACGTTTATACCAGCGAGGATCAAAGCATTCAGCGGTAGCTGGTGGATTAAAACGTGGTGACGATACCTTCGTGTCTGCACAACACAGAAATGAGGAGGAAGGTCCAGCTGCCAGCAAGTACTACATCAAGAGACACAAATGGCACAAGAAGGACAGCCGGTACGGGGTTGGATATAATTATCTTTTCTACCAGGTTTCACAACCTGTGAAAGTGGAGCGAAGGTCCAGATCTGACCAGGATCTAAACAAGAATCTGGATTTTATCTCTGAGCTGTTGATTGGGAGCCGCAACCGCTGCGAACAGGAGAGGAAGAGCCACAGCTGAAGAGAAGCATTTCCCTATAGGCAGGCACCTCCTGATGATGCCTGACACCACAGAGGAGGAAGACTCCATCTTCCTCTACAAACCTGTGAGCCCCCAAAGTCCAGACCTTGCTCCAGTTCCAAAAGGACGGGAAACCAACGTTGATCATCACCGGCCGCTGCAGGAGGCACACAAAGGCCTGCGAGCATTCACGGCCCACGTGGAGCGAGCCCTGAACAGGGACTGCAGCCTGCCCCAGCTCAAGCACGCCTGTGCCAGGATGGTCATGAAGACCAGGCTGTTTCTAAAGCTGCCCACTGAGAGGCAAGAGAACCAGGGAGCCTATGATCCCATGGCCCGGTGTCGTCTGCAAGAGAACATGATCATTCATATGGCCTTGGGGAATGGCAAGGGACTCACACGGAAGGTAGGAGAGCTGCAGGCACTGCTGCACGTGTCCTTCTGGGAAAAGGAGAATGGAAGGATCAATCCTC